CAGTTGTGGTCATCTTTCAATCTTCTTTTTAACTAATAATCTGCTTTATACAGTTGAGCAGTCTGTCTAGGCTGACAGGACCAGATGAGAGCCCCTCAGTACTGCACACACCCAGGATATACTGTAGCATTCAAGAAACACTTGTACAGAGCAAGAAACACTTAAAAGAGATGTGTACTCACCATAGACATTAAGAATAAACCTTGAATGAAATTTATCTCCTCCGACAGCTCGAACCTGGTACAGTCCAGAGTCATTGACGTCCAGGTCAGTGATGGTCAGCGAGCCAGTCACTCTGTCCAGCTGAAGTCGACCTCTGAATTTCTCCAGGAAATCAATCTTACTTTCCCACTTGCTCAGCTCTGCTATCCGTTCACTGTGCGTCTCATTACCAAAATCCCACTCCACTCTGTAGGCTCTCTCGATGTCCGTAATGTGAATTCTCAGAGTGACAGAGCCTCCAACATTCCCTCTCACTGTCTGATCTCCACACACAAGAACATCTGGAATAACAACAGGTCCAATGGTACATCAGTGCAATTCTCCGTCAACTGTCCACAGTACTACAGTTTCCTGCAGTTCAGATGTTTCCAAAGTGACAGAGCCTCCAGAGCCCAGTGATCTAGATGAAACTCAAACATCCACAGCTCCTATGTTCACTGACAGGAGATACTGGGCTCTAGGAGGTGCTGCTCATTAAGATCAAATGGCTATTTGTAAAAATAGTAGTGTTAACCACTGCTGTGTGTCATTGCACTGGGTGAAGTCCAGTACCCCAGATCACCCAGCATTCTCCTGGTGCTGTAGTCTCCGTCTCCTGTTGTGATCTGTGTGCAGTGGGGCTGCTGTGTGTCACCTCACTGGGTGAAGTCTAGTACCCCAGATCACCCACAATCCCCCTGGTGCAGCAGTTTCTCTCTGCTGCCCTGATCTGTGTGCAGTGGAGCTGCTGTGTGTCTCCCAGGCAGGTCTGCACTTCTGGAAGGAAGGAAGTGCAAAGCGCTTTGGGGCTCTTTGAAGTTAAAAGCACTTGAATAAAATTGAACTTAAATTTGTATAAATCCAAGGAATTATTATTAATTCCATTGATGGGGAAGACACCATGACGTCTTTGGAAAAGAGAAGAGCGATCAAGGCATGTGTTTGGAAATAGCTGCACATGGAAGAGTGGTCTGAGGTTCCTCTCGGTGATTCAAACTGAAATGAACAAACTGATTCAGTCTCCCCTGTTCAAGACACAGAATGTCTTCCTACTGCAGTAACAGGATTATTAAGTCAAACAGCAATAAAGTCCATATCTGTAAAGCACAGGGGACACTGAACCCTAATATTTTCTGCTCATTGCTAGAGTATCAGTAACAGTTCATGGATGGTGCCCATTGTCACTGCTTACTCTGACCATGAACAGATGCTGATTACAGTATGTGTCTGTGACACATGGGCACAGTGGGTCTAGCCTGCCTCACAATAAAAAAATAAATCAAATGCATTGATGGATTAAACATGGATCCTACATAGCTGCTGGCTGCCTTTTTAACAGTTTTAAATTTGTTTCATCATTATTAATTAACGTATTTGCAATGTAACAATAATAATTATAGTTTTACACGCAGGGAGACATACATCTTGTTGCAAACAGTGGGAATGACCTACATGTGGATTGCTCCATCAGTACTGTGGGCTGTAAAACAGCAACATCTTTTCCTTTTCCTCAGTGTGCTTTGTTGTGAGAAAGACAGTCGACATCAGTGACCCCACAGCAGGCATGCTTTTTGGCACTGATGTCAATGAAGGCAACGACACAGGTAGATCTGGCTAATGCATTAATTTACACATTGTTAAGGGTTCACAGAGTGAACAGCACAGATAAATATCACCAGCAGGGAGCATAATTATGGCCACAAGACACTGAACCAACATGAGAGACCACATGTTTCATGTACTGTAAGAAAATCGATGTGTTGTCAGGATATTACTGGCAATTATCCTTCAAATCAGTGCAGTTTATTGAGATCCCATTTGGATATAGCCATCGCCACAGAGCTGTTGTTTGCTTGGAGCGTTTTTTAATGGATCTGCCCTTTTCAAGCTGTTATTGCCCACCTGGTTCCCAGCCAACAGCACCTTCCCTTCTGCCACTATAGTTAAAGTTTAACTGAGAGAACTTCCCCCTCAGGTCATTCCTTCCTCCTTCTGCCTCCTATCCCATGGGTCACATGAATCAGTGGTCTGAGATAAAATCCTTTTAGACTTTTACTCCCTTTTCAATGAGCTCTTTACAGTCATTGAGCAACGAGGAAGTTTCTATAAAAGACTGCTCTGATTACAGATGACGACAAAAATAAAAAATCACAGGATTGAGTTTCTTCTGCATTCTTTATTCCTCCCCTGTGTTTCGGCTCCCTGAGTCTCTCTCCTCTGGAAAGAGTTAGTGTGGACGAGGCTCACCACGGTGTCTAATATTCATCCATTTCTCACAGCTTCTGAATCTCATACAGTTTCACATGTGGATTCAATCGTTGCAGGGGAAAACAGACGTGCTATGCGGAGTAAAATACAAATCCAAGCTGGAGAATAGAAACAAGCTGTTTACCATATTCTTCCTCTTCAATAACGCCAGTTGCTGAGAAGTGTGAGAAAGTCTTAGAACAAGGGGATCAAGTTGCAGAGACAGTTTTGCCCTGAGGATCAGCGTGTGAAAGACACCACAGAGGGAAACATTTCAGCTCTGAGACACGACTGGAAACCCATGGTACTAGTAGAGAGTACAGCTAGAGATGAGAATGTGCTTTCCCAGAACTTGAACAAACTCTGGATGTAGATGGTCATCTTGATCTGGGCCCCATGTGGTTCTGTTGTGTTGTTTAAAGGAGTTTTTAAATAGATAGATACTTTATTGATCTCATGAGGGAAACTTGCAGAAGAAAGACACACTGCTCAGGTTCCACCAAGATTTGGGCTCAGATTGCTGGATTCAGAGTCCAGAGTGCTAACCATTACACCATGGAACCGCTAACTTTGTCAATGAAAAGTTCCATAGCTTTTGTTTGTCGGTGAAACTGAACTGTTTTCCTCATTCGGGAAGTTTCTCTGGAAGCTCTCAGGCCATTAGATGTGGTTTCTGGATCAGATTCTCAGCAGAGTTAGATGAGAGGGGTAGAGTGACATCACTGCTCCGGGCTCCTGAA